GGGAAGGGAAGGGAAGGGAAGGGAAGGGAAGGGAAGGGAAGGGAAGGGAAGGGAGGAAATAAACTGGAGAGGTGCTTCTGTTCATTTTGAGTGACTGATGAGCAGTAGGAGAGTGATTTACCAAGTTCAATACATAATTTTACTTCATGTGAGCTCAGTGAACTTCCTAAACAGTTTTTAAATGCATGTAGTTAAATGAAATAAGCACTCTGTCTTCATTTTTCTGCAGTGCCCCACAGTTAACGGGAAACATTTCATAACCACCTACTTGTTGAGGGCCACGGGGGCAGGTTCTTTTCAAACTCGATCCCTCAGCTAAAGCATCTCAAAGTGTACAGAAAGCCTTGCAGAGCATTTTGCTTTAGGAAAAAGAGTACAAAGGGATGTATTTTCCTTGTATTAGGAGAAAACACATCTAATCATGCTTGTTTTGCTTGAGGTAACTCAATTTCTGCTTGCGCTGTGACAGCCTCCTGTTCAGTGCCTGAAGCCCGTAGCTAAAGAAGGCTCTGAACCAAACCCAAATCTGAAGACCCTCAGTCTTTCTGGGGCTGGGAAAGGCTAATATCAGCATTAAAAAATCCACAGGTCCTTATAATGGACAGAAAGACAGGTCTGAATTTGGGAAGAGTTGAACTCCAGATCAGAAGTTTCAGTGGGGGGGGGGTGGGTGGATGTCAGAGGATGAGACAGGTAAGAGCAACGATACCACCCCATAGTAATGCTTTCTGCAATTTATCCCCCCCGTGTGTGCGTACACTCTCAGTGGGATGGATTAATTAGCGTGAGTCCTGCCTCTGCAGTCTCTCTCCCCCTGGCACACTAACCCCCGCCTCCAGGAGGGGAGGGAAGCCCTGGGCTCCACGCTTGATCCAAGTGCCTGTGCGGAGAGGAGGCAGTGGAAAAGGAGGGAAGGCAAGCTGACCTACCACATGCTACTGGGAGGCCATGGCGGCACCTGCAGCAAGCATACTCACCGGCTGGGTGAGGGGCTGCGGAGATAGTGGGCCTGCACAGCCTTCACGTCCGGTCCCTCATCCCCCTCATCGGGCACCGCCTGCTCGCTGTCCGAATCTCTGCCACTGGCCATGGCAGCTGCAAGAGGATCCACTACAAGGGGAGCACAGCAGGAGGGAGGGCTGTTACAGAGGTCTGCAAAGAAGGCCATCCCCCGGCCGTGGGGCGGCAGTGGCAGGGGTGGTACGGCAGAAGGGGCTCCCACATCTTGCTCCCATGACCCTGCGAGCAGCCCTTGCCGCAAGCCAGCCGCACTGGCTCCCCCGCCCGGGGGCCGGCCAGCCGCACTGGCTCCTCTGCCAGGGTGCCTGCTGTTCCCGAGGCCTCGTGCAGCTCCCTGGCTGGTGCCAGCAAGTGCCAATGCCCTTCTTGCCTGTGAGTAAGCATGCAGGAAGGCCAGGTGGCAGGGCAGAAATTCTATCCCTCCCTGGCCAGCTCAGCCCGTGCGTGGTGGCTGGAAGGAGCTGTATACAGCCAGAGCTGGACTGGAAGGAGCGTCGGGGGCAAGAAACATGAGACCTCACCTCCCCAAAATGAAACGCTGCTAAAGCTCAAGGCCGAAGGCGCTTTAAGCCTCGGGACTCTGTCCTTGTAATCCTTTGTGGGGAGGCTGCCATGCCCGCCCTGGGCGCAGGAGAGCAAGGGGGCCATAGCTCAGTTAGTTAGAAGCATGAGAACTCAGCAGCCGCCCCTTCCCCAGGTCTGGCCAGAGCGACTCCTGCCTCGCCATGCCACGGCTGCCGGGCTCCGAAGGGCCCCAGCAGCCGGCCTCAGGCAGGAGGACCGCAGCCGCATGCCACCAACGGGGCTGAGGAGCGGCTGCCACTCACGGGGTAGTGGGCAGGAAGGCAGGGGAGCAAGGAAAGGGCACTTACCCCCTGTGCCTGGACGACTCTGCTGGGGGTCCCTGTCGGAGGGAGTCCAGTGAAGAGGGCAGGAAACCTGGCAGGGAACGGTACTGGGGGGAGAGAAATCAGCTGCCCCCTCTCGCTCTCTCTGTGGCTTCTTCATTAAGGGGCAGGACAACTGTCGGCACCAAACCTTTATCAGCTTTCTAAATATAGCGTTGTCCTGACGCTGGCTGCTGGATTGCATGGGGAAAGAATTCAGTGCCTCATAGACGGCAGCTGGTCCAAGCACTTAACTCCTTCCCGGCTGTGGGCTGGATCCTCCAACATTTCCCAGTTGCAGGAGGAGACCAGAGAAGACCAAAAGCCAGTGTAGCTGGACCTCTGCCTGCAGGGAGCCTCCAGGCAACTGGGAGCCCACCAGGCACAACTTGAAATGCTGGTATGACCTCTGATGTCCTTGGGAAACGCAGTACAGGATGAGCCACTCCAAGCTTAGTAGAAGCAAGCTACCTGTCAACTACCTCGACTTCTGTAAGGTCTTTGATATGGCCCCCCACAACATTCTTACCTCTAAATTGCAGAGAGATGGATTTGATGGATGGACTATTTGATGGATAAGGAATTGGCTGGATGGCTGCATCCAGTCACAGTCAGCGGCTCAGTGTCCAAAAGGAGATCAGTAGCAAGTGGTGTCCCTCAGGAGTCCGTACTGGGACCAACACTGTTCAATATCTTCACTAATGACATAGACAGTGGAACTGA